GGAGGAAGCCGGAGAACCCGGAGAGAACCCACGCTGCACGGGGAGAACATGCAAACTCCATGCAGAAAGATCCCAGGTGTCCACAGCAGGACGCGAACCAGCAACCTTCTTGCTGCAATGCAATGATGCTAGCCACCTTGCAGCCCTGTTTAGTCTGTAACGAGGTATTTTTCAGAATGCTGTGTTTGATCTCGATGTATTGCATGAAACAACAAATAAATAAATGGAAAGGAGTGAACTCAGGTGAAAGCAAACTAAACCAACATCAACAAACTGATTCCATTTACTCCACAGACCTCATCTTGATGGCACACCCAGCTATTTATAAAGAAATAGGACATTTTCAAAATCTACATTTGCATATTAACGCTCCCTGATTTGCCCACAGAGAGAGCAGAGGGGTGATGATGTTGAGGAGGAATATGCTGGAGTTTATTTTAGCAAGAAACAGTCAACAAGACAAAAATAGAATCACAGAATGATATAACATTGTACGGGTCAGACTCCAGCCACCCGTGACCCTAGTGAGGATTAAGCGGTGTATAGATAATGGATGCATGGAAGCTCCAAAAACAGGGCCTCCTACATTTCCCATATTGTAGCTGGATAATGTTTTTAATTAGACCCTCCCTTTGCAACATACCCTCAACTTTCATACACACCTCTGATTTGACAAGTTTTCTGATAAAATTTGTAATCGCATACATATGCATAAGCAGATAACCCTGATTACATCATAATGAAACCATGAGGCTTATTTCCTGCTTCAGAGACACAGAGGACATTACACAAGTGTTCATGTGTGCTGAAAACAACTGTACTTTATGTGTAAAACCAGTGGATGGCCCTTTAAAACTATGTTGGAGTGATAGGGCTCTAAGATAAATGTCAACTGTCAAATGTGTCTGTGACTATGGATTGTTATGAAACTGAATAACACTGTATATTGTATAATGTCAGCAGAAGAAAATGGAGCAAACATCTGTCTGTAATTAACAGTACCATATGTGCATCTCATTAAAGATGGCCACCAGTTCCAGAGGGAACAACACACCAGGGAGAGCAGAAAGTGATGTTCTTCATTACAAAGAGAAAAGATATGAGGAAGCATCAAACAAAACAAAATAAATCAAAGAAGCCTGTTCCAAGCATATAAAACTGACTGCATTCACTGCACACTACTGGACCTAAATCCCTTATACCATCCATCCATCCATTTTCTATACACTGCTTAATCCTCACTAGGGTCGTGGGGGGGCTGGAGTCTATCCCAGCCGACTTAGGGCAAAGGCAGGGGACACCCTGCACAGCTCACCAGTCTATCGCAGGGCTACACTTAGAGACAGACAACCAAGCACACTCACATTCACACCTACGGACAATTTAGAATCACCAATTAACCTCAACATGTTTTTGGACTTGTGGGAGGAAGCCGGAGAACCCACGCTGCACGGGGAGAACATGGAAACTCCATCCAGAAAGATCCCGGTGCCCCCACCGGGACGCGAACCAGCAACCTTCTTGCTGCGAGGCAACAGTGCTAACCAACTGCGCCACCTTGCAGCCCTCCCTTATACCAGTGTTTCTCAAATAGTGGGGCCTGGTGCGATGCCAGGGAGGGCGCATCTCACCCCGGGGCAGTGTTAATATTGTCAGCGAAAACTCACACTAAAACTTTTCGTTGACAATCCATTTTTCCGTGGCTAATTTGTGACGAGAATTTAAATTTAAGAAGCACTGACAACAAAAACTAAAACGAAATCTCTATTCATTATCAATTGACGAGTAAAGACGTGATGAAAAAGATGACGCTGGCCTGCCAGACAATCTGGATTACAACCATCCTCTATGCAGTCAGTATTAGCTGGTGCGACCAATGAAGAAAGTTGATAGCACCATGCTGCCACTAGAAAAGTTAGTCTGGAGCTCTGTAACAGAATCGCAAGAAACCACATCCAACAGCTGAGGCTCTCATACTCCCCACTGCTCTTGATATGGTGTCAACAATGACTGATGAGACTACCACCACAAAATTGAAGGCTATCCCCCCGTTATTTTTACTGATCACTGAGTAAGTTGTTGCTGCACTATTTGACTGCTCATGACATTTAATTTCAGTAAATTTAAACTGGCTCATTTCATGACTATTTAAGGCGAGGAAGATTTTTGTCCTCCGAAGGGGGGCCTGACAGAAAAAGTTTGAGAACCACTGCCTTATTCCCTAATCCCTAAATCACTCATTAACGGTACATGTCAAAATAATGTGTTGCATCGCAACACAACTCAATGCAACATAACCATGAGCCATAATATAATATCACAAAACAATGCATGACATGATGCAAAGCAGTGCAATGCATCACAATGATGTGACACGAGCTCAGGTAATACAACAAAATGACATTAAATATCATTATATATCAAACCAATGCAATGCAATGTGATGTAACAAATTGTAATGTAACTCACAACAATGTATTGCATTATGGTACAAATTGGGTCTGCAAGGTGGCTTGGTGGTTCGCACTGTTGCCTTGCAGCAAAAAGGTCAGCAGCTCGCGCTCCGGTGAGGACACCAGGATTCCCCCCCCCCCCCCCACCCACCCCCACCCCCATAACAGATAATGGATGGTACAAATCTCATAGTAATGCAAATCTGTGTAGTGTGGCATCATACAACATTAGGCATGTGAGCATCAAAACTGCACCATGGAGATGATGAAACACTTTTCCTTTTACATCAACCTAAACATTGCTGCAGACCAAGTATACCCTTCATGG